AATTGGATTTAAGATTTGAATCTTAGGAATTTAATCAAAATTAAGCTATTATTGGATTTTAAATTAATGTTTGTACAAATGATTATTGAATTTTTTAAGACATATGAACCCAAACTAAACTTACTAAATTTTACCAAACCATTAGATATACTCGAATTATGCCCTTATGTATACACATCTTAGTGTAGTCGCAAAAGTAGTTGACACTACGCTAAAAATAATCTTTAATAATAATAATTTAATTGTTATTAAATACTTCCTCCGTCCCTATTTAGTTGTCCATTTTAGAAATGACGCACAAACTAAGGTAACAATGATTAGCATAGGAAGTTACAATTTTATCCTTATAGTACAATTTACAATTCCAAAATAAATTCACTCAAGATAACTAATCAATGCTGGGAAGTTCGTAAGTTTATTTACTTTATTTATGAGAACTTTATTTAAATAAGGGTATAATAGGAAAAAAAAATTATTGTTCTTTCTTGATTTGTCAAAATGGACAACTAAATAGAGACAACTAAAAGAGGAAATATGGACAACTAAATAGGGACGGAGGTAGTATATATTTTTAGAGGCAATTACTAGTGATAATGCTATTTTAGAAGTTTAGCACTCTTTGTAAATATTGCTAAAACATATATAGTGACATTGAACCCAATGACAATTGATTAGTATCGATTAAAAAATTAACACTATTAATAAGCATGCTCATTCCGCTAAAAAATGCTTTTTTGTGGTAATGTGAGTTGATTGAGTAAGGGGGTTTAAGGTTCAAAACTCTCCATATGCCCTTTCAATCAAGTTTGTCAAGCTCTGTGAGTAGGAGGGTTCATGATTCGATTTGAATTGGTTATTGGTTAAAATCAAAATCAAATCAGTATAAACGGTTTTTGAATTTTCAAAATCAAATCAAATATAATATATATTTATTGGTTTAGTTCGTTTATTCAGTTATAAACCAAACACAAAAATAAGAGAAACGATTCACTCAAAATGAGAAAAAAGTTATGACAACAATCCATTTAAAACGAAAAATAGTTAGAACGACTAACATTATAGAACTTTCAATCATTAAATTTACTGTGAGGACAACTTCAAAATCCATCATTTTGGCTTAGAAGGAAGAGATTGCGACAATTCTAATAAGATTTTTAAAATTGTTTATATAAATAATATATTATGTATGTATTGATAAGATATATGTATATAATTTGTCGATTTTATTCGATTATTTCTTTGATTTTCTCGAACAAAATCAAATTCAAACCACATACAATCGATTTAAAAAAAATATAAAACCAAATCCAAATAAACTTAATTTATGTAATTGATTAAATTTTTCGTTTTAGATCAATTTTTATCCAAATCGTAAATACTTCAATTTATACTAGTGTAATATTTACCTCACTTAGAATTATTTAAAAGCTATTACAGTAAAATAATATTTTTATAATATCCAAAGAATAAGCTAATAGCGACTGCGACGAATTTTGTGGTCCACTAAAAATATACACACGTTAGTGTGTGCTCATGATAATATGTGATGTTAAGTGCATTAATTCTTTTATGTGTTTGTAGGTGAGAAGAAAGAGATGGATAAACACGGATATTTCATGACATTTATTATTTTATTATTTTCTCTGTTTCTTTTTATATGTCATTTTTATTATAAATAATTGAACTATAATATTTATCATTTCATAAAATCAATGCATAAATTATAATATTTTTCCTATTTTACCCTTGTGAGTTATTAGCCTTGAAAATATACATATGATTAACATAGAAAAATTAAATGAATAATTCATGTTCATTGGTCAAATTAATTAATCAAAATAAATAATTTCATATTTGAAACGTAGACTTCAAAAAAAATTTAAACAAAAATAGAATGATAAACTTACTTAATTTTATAATATAAGTGAAATAAAAAATGATGACATATAAATAAAAACGGAGGGATATATTATAAGGTGTCGGTATGTAGGAGATTGAAGACAGAAAAAAGGGGTTAGTTGTTGACTTACTTTCGAACTGCTATGCTACATTTAATGTTCTTCTACTTATTGTCTTCTAGTAGTAAATAGTTTTATCTAAGCTGTGATGAAATAGTTGAATTTCGTCATTTTTAATTATAGATTTCAAGTTTAGTCTTTTAGAAATGAAAGAATTCTCGTTGAAAAGTGTTGTGCTTCAAAATAAATTTTGTAATATATAAATTTAAATTTAATTATGTTTGAATATGAATATCGGATACTTCTTTGTGGATAGGGTTTGAACCATTATCTTTATTTGCACTTTTGATTTTTATAGACATTTAAGTTATATACTTTGTTCGATTCAATTTATGCGATGATATTTGATTGGGTATAAATTTAAGAATGAAAGAAAGAAAGGTTTTTGAATTTATTGACCTAAAACAAATCATAAATAATGTGTGACTTTTCCTTACACATGACTTCATTTAGGGTAAAATAGAAAGTGTAATTTACTAAATATAAAATTGTGTTATCTCTTTTTAACGAACTAAAAAAGAAAGAATATCACATGCTTAAATTGAAACTAAGATAAAATATTTATTGGTTAACGATTAGAACATATTTTCCCAACTATTTTCGGAGAATAAATTTTTGTTCAATTTTACATAGTTCTAAAATAAATCTAACTACCAAATAAAACACTACAATTGATTAATATTAGTAATATTTTGCTATATTGAAAGGAATAGTAAGTTTGATGTGTTAGTTCATATTTTACTGTGCCTCCTAGTTGTTGTAATCATTTCATTTATTCTTGTGAATGTGATGTTAATTACTATTGGAGAAATTAAAGTTTCCAAGGTGACTTCTTGGTTATTTGAAATAGGAAACTTTTCAGCTTAAAGAAGAAAAATTGGATGTATTTGTTGCTCCATCTCCTATAATAGGTAATGAATCAAATAATTTAGAAATTTGTGGTTAGGTTGTTAACAACAATGTTTATTTTAGGATTTCCATTATTTTTCTAAAATTCTTAATCAGATATTTCGGGTTCAACCTCTGAGTATGAAATTATTTTTGTTAGAAAGTATTTCACCTTATAATGTTAAATTATTCAACGCGAATCCAAATTTAATCGAAATTCAATACGTATATCAAACATCTGAGGAAAAAGAAACTCAATTTTCAACGATTACATGTGTCCTTGTTTGCTTTACTCTTTATAGTCTTTTGAGCCTAAGGCCCTAAGGTCTATCTATGCATGGAAATCACTTTATAGACCTCTAAGCGTGGATGCTACGACAAGAATTCAATACTTCCTTCATTTCACAAAGAATGATCTAGTTTGATTTGACACGAAGTTTAAGAAAATAATTTAAAAAAATTGAATCTTGTGATCCTAAATTAAAGTTATGTCAAATGTACAAAATTGCCCTTTAATCTTATGGCCTTAAACATGTCACGTGAAAAACTAAAATTAAAATGTTACCATCATTCTTTTTGAAGCAGACTAAAAAGGAAAGGAGGTCACTCTTTTTTAAACGGAAGGAGTAATTACTAACATGCTTGATCCAATGAATCACATCACGTTATTTTAATAAAATTAGTTTGGTGTTTGTAGGATGATTTGCACTGTCAAAATCGTAGCGGGATAAATGGGTTTATTGGCGCTATTTAAAAGTCAATTAGTTATAATCCTAATATAAATATTGAACACCAAGCGAATAAAATCATAAAAAAGTAATTTTTTGTTATCATGATGAGTGGGGGTCGGGTTTGCTCTAGGGTGACCTCCACAAGTAACCAACAAGGGTGGATGCAAACTTACAACAAATAATATTTCTGAATTCATAATTTTGAACAAATACAATAGATATAATACTAAAATTCACAAAATTTAAATTCTGAAATCGCTAAATGTCAATTTAGTAATTTGACTTTAGAGATTCATGTTTTGTGGAAAATGAATGAGAACATTATTGATTCTTCTAGAATGTTGTGGGGTTAAAAAAAAAAACAAGAAGAAAATTATTTTTTTAAGAAAGAGATAGGGTTTGTTGGGGGAATGGGGGTTGGAGGAGTGGAAGAAGGGGAAGGGGGTTCTCGAATGTGAAAATGATTTCAATTTTATGAAAGAATTAAACGATGAGTCGTTTGAAGTGAAATCTCATGTACGATTCTATAAAGTGAGTTTATTTGTCAACTTTTCTACTTGGTAGGGGTGGTTGATTGTTTCTCAAGCCGGCCTCCACCACAGCATCAGAGTGAAGGCCCATTGGGCTGGTTGCATAGACCAATTAAGCCCAAAACTTAACCTAATTGTGTCTCCAAGCCCAAATGGTCTTATTATGTTTGCAAGAGCTTATTTTAGCTGCTGAATTGGAAACTTTAGAAAGTTTTGGGTTTAAAAAAATGTTTTGTTTATGCTAAAAATCAACATGTTGAAATGATATCAACTTATTATGATTATGTGATTTAATGATATATAAATACATATTAATTAAACTTTGATAAGAGTAGAAGTTTATAAACAAACGCATATCGTGCAATTATTAGTTTGATATACACATTCCTTTAGTGCAAGGGTTCTCTTATTGCAAACCTAATTTTAAAAAAAAGTGAAAATGATATTTTGAGATTATGGTCGGACTCGGAGCTATCGTGAGAAGTAATGGTTTGGTAGAACACAACAATCTTAATCTAAATCCTATATTTTTTTTTTTTGAGAGATTCACTGAATATATATACATATAATAAATTTCAGAATTATTAATTTACAAATTCAAAACTCATAAACTTTAAATATATATTGAATCGCTATGTTCGAGACCTATTAGTACTTCAATCCACAAATCCTATAAAAACCACAACAAATGTATCATCGTCAATGCCCTTCCTTGAGGTTTATTATATAACACAACATTATAGTAACCCTACTAAATCAAACAAGAATAAAATCCCAAAGTTAGGTCAAAGAAAAAAACCAAACAACAATAAAACTTAAAACATCTGTGTTATTGACTTCCAAATTTTAAACTCCCTTCCCTCTACTTCAAACCTCTAGTAGATTTTTTCCCCGCACTTTCGATGAATTTAACATTTTGTTGACCATTCTTATTTGTAACCTGCTTTCTGGAAGTATCGATCTTATCATAACCAGTGATGTGAGTCTGTCCAGACCTTAAACTCTGTGTCCAGTCAAATTTTGGTGGACGAGTACTACTAACCATTCTCTGCATGTTATTCAACGCCTTATTAGAAATCGGACGACGTGCTTCTTTCTTGGTTTCTTTTATTTCAATCTTTGTCCCTCCTTCCATCTTTATATTTATGTTCACTTCAGAGAGTGCTTTAGTGTTTGTACCTCGCGTTTTATCTCTTGTACCATGATCATCAATTGATTTCCTTGTGTTCCTTTCCTCTTGGTGTTTATAAAGCCTATGTAATCTTAGTGCTAATTGGCAAATTCCTTCTTTAATTTCATCCTCTAAATCCCTCTCAACATCCCTTTCGAGCTCTCCTCTAATCTTCATCTCAATTGAATTCATCTTTTCAACTAAATGCTACAAAGAAAAAAGTTTGTATTAATTATAACTTATTAGTTACGTAGCTTATTATCATAATCACAAAATAAATCCATCACCAATTAATATGCCAAAAATAATATGCAATAAAAAAAGTGAAACCAAAAGTGTAACATAATTCGAGGGACAAATAAGCGGACGATTCTTGAAACTATCGATGCTATTATATAACTATTTTAAAAAGGTACAAGTTAAAGTAAACATCAATTTGATGCAAGAAATTAAGCATTAAAACCATCATAGTTCAAGTTCAAGAATTGCGCACTTACAAGTCAAATTATGATAACAGATCGATACTAATATAAATCAAAGTAACTATCAATTTGAGACAAAAGGCAAGTGTTGAAACCCTCAAGTTCAAGTTTCCAATGAAATATATTTACAAGTGAGATTAGGATAATAGATCGATATTGCTATATATCAAAGTAAATATCAATTTGTGACAAAAAAGTAAGTGTTGAAAACCTCATCGTTTAAGTTTCAGATCTACTTACAAGTCGAATTGTGATAATAGAATAATGTCATATATTAAAGTAAATATATTTAAACTCAACAAGCTCATCAAGATCCAAACCAACTTATAAGAAAAATTGTGACAATAGACCGATACTGATATGCTAATTAAGCCCATGTGAAGAAATTGAGAAGTTAGATATATACATGAACCAAATGCACTTACATAGACAACTTTTGGAGTACTGTACACATTAATGGTTCATACAAAATCTTATGATAAAGTTTGTTGGTTTTCTAGTACATTTTTATATGACTAAAAATTGATGTAGACTTTTAGAGTTTTGATTGGCCACCAGCCTTTTAAACATGAAATGACAGTTAAAGGTAGTTATTTCAGTTGGATGATTCAAAATTAAGTGCCAAATATCTCATGATATAATTGGAATTTTGGAGGGATTTTTAAAAATAAATCTATGGATTTTATTAGAAAGCTTGTGTATCTTTTTCTCTAACTACTTGACTTGAAAGACATTTGTTTTGGTGTCAACTTAAAGTAAAATCATGTTTTTTTTTTCTTTTGTAGTAAACTATTTTATCACACGGTGTTGTGAATATATGTACACTTCACTATTGAAAGAAGCTTTTGAAATTCACAAATTTGAGTCTCAAGCTTAGTTTGTAATTGGTGATGTATCACTTTCTAAAATATTATTCTTACTAGAGTTATTTAAGTAATATTCACAAGAATTAATTGGTGAAATTCATGCTTTGGGCCTTAAGTAGAGGAAAACTTATTCATTATAGGGAAAATTGTACATAATAGCAAACATTTAAATCAAAATAAATCATATAGCTACTGTTTCATATATTTGTATTTCGCAGCAAACGTGCAGCTAATGTTACACCATTTTTGCCATTCAGTTGGGACCCATGAATTTTAAAAAAAAATGGAAGATTTATTTAATACAAATTCCTTCACTATTTTTTCTCTCCCATTTTCTTTCAATTTCTCCTAAAATCTCTCCCCAAATCAGTTTTATTTTAATCGGTTGGGCCCCACACATTTCAAAAAATGGAAGATTTATTTTTATACAAATTCCTTCACTATCTTTTCTCTCCCAGTTTCTTTCAATTTCTCCTAAAATCTCTCCCCCGAGTCCTTTTTTTTAAATACATATATTTTCATCCTATACACTTATAATTATACAAATACAGATCTTCCCTTGCCCAGTTCTCTCCCCCAAGTCCGTTTCTTTCTCGTTTTATACAAACACAGATTATACAAATTACAATGTATAATTTGTGTTGTATAAAGTGAGAGAGAGATTTGATATACAAATGTTTTATTTCGATTTAATTGTCTACAAATTCAAATTTTATGCAGATAAAACACAATAATTGGTACATATACATAGTACTTACATATATACAATTATCTAACCGATATACATATACAATTGTTGCGCTTTTATACAAACGAGAGGCCGGTCAGTGATTTTATACAAATATGCTCTTGTCAGCGAGTTATACAATCTGATGCTCCATAGCAAACATAAAATTTGCTATGGAGCGCAATTATGCAGACTGTAGTTATAGCATACAAATATGATTTTTATATTTGCTAAACCTAAAATTTACTCTTAATTATATATACAATAAAATTTTTCTATAACAACATCGTTTAGCTACATGTTATAATGACATGCATATTGTTATAATGACATAACATAACAAGAACAATTATTTTAAAAAGAACTTGATCATTATATTGAAATATTGTTATAGAAAATGACTATTATAAAATAAAGATATCTTAGTGAAATAATATTACTAAAGGTGCATATTATGGAAATCTTTGTCTTCCATAGTTGAAGTGAAAGGTTTAAACTTCAAATTTAATTAATAGATTCCACTATTAAAATAAAAATATTCAGATACACAAATATAATAAAATTATGTATTAAAAATACCATTATTTTCTTGGCTTCTCTATCAAATGTTAGGATAATGACTTCATGGATTATGTCATCGTACCCTGCACCTTTATTTTGTCAACGTTACGTAAACATTTCACATGTTTATATAAAAAAATAAAATTATGTATTAAAAATACCATATAATAAAATTATGTATTAAAAATACCATTATTTTCTTGGCTTCTCTATCAAATGTTAGGATAATGACTTCATGGATTATGTCATCGTACCCTGCACCTTTATTTTGTCAACGTTACGTAAACATTTCACATGTTTATATAAAAAAATATTGTTATACCCTCAATTAGGGACTGTTTGATTATAGGTATTAGGGTGTGTATTCCGGTTTAAAATTTGAAATTAAATTCATCCAATATTAATTGTGGATATTAGCTAAAATAAGAATGAAATGTATATCAAAACCATGAGATTATCTACTCATAAAGAAGGTAGAATTATCTATATCTATATTGGTTATAAACCCTAATTATAACGATAAAAATATAATCTTGTGATAACCTATTTTTGAACCAAACGACTCCTTGAAGAAAAAAATAACGTTGAGAATGAAAGTCAAGAGGGGGGGAGGGGTGAATTAAAATTTCCTTCAATCGACTTCCTGTAATGGTCAATCGACTCACCTGCACGTTAGTAGAATAGATAAACAGTAATAAATATTGCAGTAAGTAAATAACACAAATAGTTTTTATACTAGTTTGGAACACCGATGTGGTGCCTACTGCCTAGTCCAGTCCCCTTGGGTTTCAAGGGTTTCCTTTAGAGCTTGTTGAGAACTTGGGTGTTGCAGAATGTTACAATTGAGAGCTCTGTCTGATATGCAAATCAGATCTTCTTCTTCGACACAACCTCTACCTGTATAACCTACACTCAGATCTTTCTTTCTCTTTTCTTTTCAATTGTTCACTCAAGTGTGTACAAAGTTTTATGAAAGATAAAAGAAGATTACAATATAAGTTCAAGTGAAGTGCGTACTTTACTCCTAAGTCTGAGAGGGTATTTATATGAACATATTTGTGCTCTTGTAAGGACAGCCCAAGGGAGTTTTACTTCAATCAAGGATTTGAGGAATCCCTTGATTGAGGTGATTTATTGATCCATGTCCATATCAGATATGTGCATGGTAAATCACATTCTCTCCTTCTTAATAGATATGACTCGATTATGTGCTTGGCTGGAGGATTCATCTTGACTCTTGGCTTTGATCTGCTTTCTTTTCTTCTCTTGACAGCTTAGTTCTATTCTTGGCTTGCTTGATGATTTCATGATTTGCCAGCAATTCATCTTGACTTTTGGCTTGATTGATGATTTTCTCGATCTGATCCTATCAATCACAATTTGCTTGATTGATCTGCTGCCAGCTTTAAGTTGTCTGTTATTGATTCTTAATTCTTTTGATTATGCCCTTCCCTTTTTGTAGAGTTGTAAGGATTAGAACATATCTCATTCCATGTTTGTGTTGTTCTACTTGGATCCAGAGGCGGATCCAAGATTTAGAGTCTTTGGGTGCCAAACAGACTCATCGCCTAAATTAACTTTATGTTTGATTCGAATTACTCGTCTTTTCAATCTATATGACAAATCAATCAATAAAATAGGAATAAACAACATGTATAAATTTTTTAAAAAGTGCTTGTAGGTTGTTTACGAAAAAATTATGGTGGTTCATAATGTTCATTTGTCAAAAATCAAATAAAGATAAATATATTAATATTAATTTTGATTTAAAGTCAAATAATTATGTATTTAAAAAAGAGTTAAACTAAGATAAATTAAGATATCTGTGTTTAACCTCATACAAAATCAATTGTATTATTTTTAGGATAACATAAATAGTTATTTAAAATTACTTGTCAATCAACAAAATATAAATATAATTAACCAAAATTTTCTTTTTTTCATTTTACTCTCTCCATTAATTTATAGGTTATTTTTTGTTCTTGAAAGTCAAGCTATAAGGTGTATTTTTTTGTTCCTTTTTTTAAAATTATATAAACATGATAAGAATCACAACTAATAATGTTTTTGGTTGAATTGCAACTTAGCGAGAAGGTAATATTTATGAACAAATATAAGTTGCAATTCTTATCATGCTAATGTAATAATAATAAATATTTTCTAATACTCTAATTAAATTTCACGTAGCTTGAATTTTAAGAATAAAAAAATATCATATAAATTGAGAGAGTATGTATATATGTAGGAGTTTATGGATGATTTTCGATTTTGGGTTACATGAAAATAGTACCAAAACTTATATAATTATTGGTTAAATTTACTGATGATCTTTCTATTATATTTTCTTGTTGTAGAATATTTGATGCGTTTAAGTGTTTATGAAATTATTGAGAAGAGAAAAAAACAATTTATAGCTCTTTCTATTAACTATATATTAACTTTTTCTTTTACTTCTTTAGGAAATTATAAATAAAAATGATAGCTTACTATATTAATCTTTAAGATAAACATTTTTGGTTATTTTTTTACAAATTCTGTTTACACTTTCAAGAAAAATTACTTGTTTGGATAATGAAAAAAAATTAACAAATTGTTGTTTAATTTTGTTAATTGACAAATAATTTTTAATAACTATTTTAGTAAAATGTAAATAATTAATATAGGATAGAAAAATAATATCTAAGGTTAGGAGTAGGATGAATTAGGCTAAATTTCATACTTATAAAATTATTTAAAGATAAAGAAAGTAGCAAATAATTTGAAACAATGGTAAAAAAGAACAAAAGAAAAAGGTCGAAAAGCTATTACAGTATGATTTATGAGAGGAGCCTTAAGTTTTAAAAAAGAAAAAATGAAAATGTGTCAAAACGGGTTTAATCCCGCGACCTGAGGCTCAAACATTTGGCCTTTTACAACGGGCACCACAAAGTACTTTGGTACCGAGGGTGGCGGGTTTATTATTTATATATAGACTGTGTATATATATACCTATATACATAAAATTTCCGTCGAAGCTCGTGGGTGGCATGGCACCCCCACCTGCCTGAGTAGATCCGCCCCTGCTTGGATCATTTCCTTATTTAATCTTCATGCCTTCTTGATTTGCAGGCTGCTTGATTTCCTTCATTTTTGATTTCCTGCGAGTAGATTATGAGTTAGCTTGTCATTATTCAGAATATCATAAGTTAACAGAGAAAAATTATATATTTCTTTCACTTACGGTGTTAATTTACTATTTAATATCCTTATTGAAAGATATCTCTAATGTCACATTACTTAATCAATTTTTT